TCCTGTCAATAAAAACGGAGAGTTAATGATTCAAATTCACTGTTAATACACCTTCGAGATGAACAAAATGTATCCACTCAAAATAACAAGCAGATAAATAATAAAAACAAATTAGATAATTATAAAACGATGGCGTAAAAAGAAATACCCAGTATAGTTTGTGCATCAATGTTGTTTTGAATTCAATATCTTCAGATCAAGTTTCCCATATACATATAATTTATCGGTAAAACGCTTTTATATAAACTAGTATGCGAATGATTTTCAAGCTACAAATTCAAGTTTACATTCGTCATTTCTCACAGAACACTAATTTTGAATAAGTGGATTTACGGAATAAGAAAATCCAACAAATTGATAGTGTCACCTTCAGTGTAAACATATTTTGCGTCATTTTTTCCATAATAAAGCAAGTAGAATCGTATGGAACCACTATGCATTTGTAGCAAATTATAATTTCACCAAGAAGCTATGAACAATGGTATGTTGTCAGTGTACAACTTACTAAGTAATACAAATACCTATTATATTAAACTAAATACAGAATTGCAGAATAATACGGGAACAATAACAATATTTACGAAAATATGATATTAGTACAAGGTTTACATGAAATAACATTACTGTACATCTAATAATGATACTAACGTAGTACAAAATATACAAGAGGGCGTACAATATATAGGTATGAAAATTAAAAATCGAAATTGTTATTTCTATAAATCAAAATATTTATATCGCGTGACGACAAACTCACCTCATCACGTGGTTCTTTGTGGACACCAGCTTTCAGGAGTGTTCCCGTGACTCGGCTATGATTCATATGGAAACATCCACCAATTACAGCTAAATGAAGAGGAGTGCGTTTCTTCTGAAAAATTGAAAGCACAAATAAATTTATCTGGATTTCTGCTGATCATCTAGCCGGTGAAGTAAATTAGCTTGATTAGGATAAATTGTGTGTACAAAAGATACAAATAACTGGTGATCCTTCAGTTCAGAATAGTCTAAACAATGAAGGTAATTAAACAATCGTGTTTATTTTTTGAAGAAATCACATCAAATTTACCAAACACTTACATATGCACTACAGTTCAATGATACTAACATTTTCATTCTACATCAAGTAATACAATTATCTATCATATTATAAATGAATACAAAATTGTAGAAAAAATACGGGAACAATAACAATAGTAAATAAATGACATTATACAAGATTTATACGAAATGGCATAACTGTAATGCTGCTATTAACAATGAAACAATTAATTCATTCAAGAGGAGTGTACACTGTGGTAAAAAATTAAAATTTGATCATCATTGTAAATACACATTTATTGGTATTATTATTGGTTATTGGCGAGGGGGCGAAGGCCTTTGTCCGAGGACGAGCCAAAACAGATAGACATATGAGAATGAGCGGGAAGAACACAAAGAAAAAGTCAAACAATGAAGTGGCACTACAAGTCGAATGACAACAAATCATACAAAAACTAACCAAACGCAAATGAACAGAAACCTCTGTAATTTTAAAACCTAATTTGTCACATATTGATAAAACTATTTCAAAATATCTACACAGTTATTATAATCCTAGTAATCGGATCAGTTAATGCAAGCAGATTTAACTTTTGACATCATGACTGATTAATATAAAAGTACGTCGATATCTCAACATTTCGGTTGTTTTAGGCACTAATTCATGAATTATTTTTGGAAATTATTTTATTTCAGATATTATTTAAACTCTCCAAACCGCCGAACGTCAAACACCATTTTTTCACAAGTATATAAAAGCCCACGTTTTTAATTGAATTTAAAACCTGAGTGCATATTTTGCGTCATTCCTGTAATAACCTTATAACAATACATCATTCCTTGCTAGTTGTATTCATTTAATAACAGATAACAACCTGGAATGGCAATGAACAATTTTTTGCGCTCTATGAACTCAATATCTGTTAGTGTTCAAATGCGACTGTACTATTCACACATTCAGAAATATCCAGAAAAATAATAATAAAAAA